ATATTACATATTTATACCACCCAGCCACCTTAATAGTATGTCCTTATTATCTAAAACGATTTCATGAAATTCTGTTGTGTGGTTTTAGAGGAGTTGCGATGACAAACTGTTGCAGTAGTTCATTGAAGCAAATAAGTTCAAAGGGGCGTAACTCCTAGAAAAAAAATTGAATAATAATTTCCTGTCGATATGAACAACTACATAGTATGTCCTTATTATCTACAAAGTTTCATAAAATTCTGTTGTGTGGTTTCAGAGGAGTTGCGATGACAAACTGTTGCAGTAGTACATTGAAGTAAATAAGTTCAAAGGAGTGTAACTCCTAGAAAAAAAATTGAATCGTAATTTCCTGTCGATATGCACAACTACATAGTATGTCCTTAATCTAAAAAGGTTTCATGAAATTCTGTTGTGTGGTTTGAGAGGAGTTGCGATGACAAGAAACAGGACTGACGGACGGACAGACGGACGGACGGGTCAAAAACATTATACCCTCCGCAACTCGTTGCGTGGGGTATAATAAAGAGCCATTATGTAACAGAGCTGTTGAAAACTGCATTAATTCTAAAATTTTATGAAACTTAGTACTTTGAAGTTACTGCTGTTTTATTTCTTACTATTTTTACATCTAAAATTATCGCTTTTGTTGGTCAGGTCATTTAAAGGGGTAAAAGGTGTGGACAAGAAGCTTAAACATGCCAGTGAGTTATTGTATTTGTTGATTGTGTTGAACATTACTTTATTCTTGAAAAATAATTTTGTGAATTCCAGTACAAAAATATACCTGACTTATGATTAATCTGAAAATGTTAATTTATAAAAATGTAGATTCCACAAAAATTCAATTGTTATACATGTATGTGAACCGAATCAAAATAAAACTTTCCTATTCATATTTGTAAACCTTTCCAGGTTTTGTTAAAATTGTATGAAGTAGTGTAGATTGGTTAATAAACTTGTAAATACTTAATGAGTAACTTGTTTTATGAGTATGACCAAAGGATATATGAGGTAACATATTATTGATATGTCTGTTCTTGGTCATGTTGCATGGTTTTTTTTATTGCTGATCATATTTGTTTTCAAAAAGTTTTTGTCTATTTATCCTAATTTTCAAAATAAAATGTCAGATGAAACCTGCCAAACATACATGAACACCTTGTAAGCATTCCTTAAACCAAATACAGCTGATTTATTGCTTATAGTATCTGAGAAACAGACCAAACTAGATGTGTCGGAAATACACAAATGGCCCCGTCTCAAAAAGTTGAATAATCTACAATTTCAACAACACATGTGGACACAAACATGCATGGATAGTATCCAGCTCTCCAGAACCAATACTAGTTTGATGAAAAATTTCCTTGGTCAATGAGTAGTTAAATTTCAAGTCCAAAACCCGTAATTTTGGCAAAAATTAGCAGAGTAGAACAAAACTTAAACTCGATCTGTAACACATCATGGTTAACTCACATACGAAAAATTCAGCCCAATATCTGAAGGCGTATAGAAAAAAAATCTGTATAACTGTGATTTTCAACAATTTATCAAAGTCCAAAGCCCGTAATTTCAGCAAAATTTAGCAGAGCGGAACGAAACATAAACTTGATTTGTAACTCATCATGGTTAACTTACATACCAACAAGAATGTGTCCATAATACACAGATGCCCCACACACACTATCATTTTCTATGCTCAGTGGACATGAAATTGGGGTCAAAACTCTAATTTGGCATTAAAATTAGAAAGATCATATCATAGGGAACATGTGCACTAAAGTTTCAATTGATTGGACTTCAACTTCATCAACAAGAGTGCACACACTGAAATGTCTCGCCTTCTTTACTAACCATTGATTTTATGTTGATAGTCCTAAATATAAGCTTTACTACAAGTAACACATAAACTTGACATGATCCAAGAAAATGAGGTCAAGGTCAGATAAACCAAACGAGAAATACATGTACACCTTACAATCATTCAATAAACTAAACACAGTTGACCTAATGCTTATAGTTTCTAAGAAACAGTCTTAACCAAGAAAACTTAACATTGACCAATGAACCAAGAAAATGAGGTCAAGGTCAGATGAACCATGCCAGGCAGACATGTACACCTTACAATCAATTTATGCATTAAATATAGTTGACCTATTGCTTATAGTATCTAAGAAACAAACTTAACCATGAAAACTTAACATTGACCAATGAACCATGAAAATGAGGTCAAGGTCAGATGAACCATGCCAGGCAGACATGTACACCTTACAATCAATTTATGCATTAAATATAGTTGACCTATTGCTTATAGTATCTAAGAGACAAACTTAACCATGAAAACTTAACATTGACCAATGAACCATGAAAATGAGGTCAAGGTCAGATGATACCTGCCAGACAGACATATACACCTTACAATCCTTCCATACAACAAATACAGTTGACCTATTGCTTATAGTTGAAGAAAAACAGACCAAAACACAAAAACTTAACACTGAGAAATGAACCGTGAAAATGAGGTCAAGGTCAAATAAAACCTACGAGACTGACATGTACATCATAAAATATTTCCATACACCAAATATAGTTGACCTATTGCATATAGTATTAGAAAAAAAGACCAAAACTCAAAAACTTAACTTTGACCACTGAACCATGAACATGAGGTCAAGGTCAGATGACACCTACCAGTTGGACATGTACACCTTACAATTATTCCATATACCAAATATAGTAGACCTACTGCTTATAGTATCTGATATATGGACTTGACCAAGAAAACTTAACCTTGTACACTGGTCCATGAAATGAGGTCGAGGTCAAATGAAAATTGTCTGACGGGCATGAGGACCTTGCAAGGTACGCACATACTAAATATAGTTATCCTATTACTCATAATAAGAAAGAAATTAACATTACAAAAAAATGTTGACTTTTTTTTCAAGTAGTCACTGAACCATGAAAATGAGGTCAAGGACAATGGACATATGACAGACGGAAACTTCGTAACACAAGGCATCTATATACAAAGTATGAAGCATCCAGGTCTTCTAGCTTCTAAAATATAAAGCTTTTAAGAAGTTAGCTAACGCCGCCGTAGCCGCCGCCAGATCACTATCCCTATGTCGAGCTTTCTGCGACAAAAGTCGCAGGCTCGACAAAAACTACCTTGTCCAAAAACTTTAACCTGAAGCTGGACAGACGGACGGACGAACGAACGAACGGACATACGCACAGACCGAAAAACATAATGCCTTTAAGTGGGGCATAAAAATCAGCCCAATATCTGAAGGTGTTTAGAAAAAAATTGCGTATAATGGTTTGTTGTGGAATGACGGACAAGGGTAAAATAATATGGCCCTGACAACTTTGGCCATAACAAAAACTTGACCAATGAACCATGAAAATGATATAAAGGTCATGAAACTTCCCTGTCGGACATGTACACCTTACAATCATTCCATACGCCAAATACAGTTGACCTATTGTTTATAGTTTATGAGAAACAGACATAACCATGAAAACTTAACATTTGACAAATGAACTATGAAAATGAGGTCAAGGTCACATGAACCCTGCCAGACCAATATCTTCACCTAACAATCATTCCATACACCAAATAAAGTTGACCTATTACTTACAGTATTTGAAAGACAAATCCATGAAGCTCAACATTGACCAATGAACCCTTAAAATTAGGTCATCTGCCCCCCCCCCCCCCCCAAGATGTGTACACCTTACAATCATTCCATTCAGAAAATGTAGTGGCTGTATTGCTGATAGAATCTTAGAAATATACCAAACCAGAAAAAAATCTACATTATTCAATGAACCAGGCCAGAAAGACATGTACACCTTACATCATTCCAATGAACACTGACCAATGAACCATGAAAATGAAGTCACGGTCAGATGAAACCTGCCAGTCTTACAAGTTAACCTTACAATCATTCCACACACTAAATAACGTTGACACAGGCGATACACAAATTAAAGATAGTCATTTCAGAGCAAAAGTTGCTTAAAAGAATCATCTGATAGTTTTGGAAGAAGTGAAAGTGGGAAGATCTATACAATCAGTACACTTTTTTTCAGGTACTTTCCCTTAGTATTATGGTTTTAAAAAAATTAGACAATTACTTGATTTTTACCTTTTATGCTCTATTTCTAACCACAATAACCATGCTGGTTTATTAAGGGTGCACCCATTTTGGTTTTGCAACTCCTCCTTATTACAATTAATTGAAATTTGGCATTGGTCAAGGTCATACTTTTCTCAGATTGTTTATCATGTCTTAACACTAAACCTGTTTGATGTGTACCATTTGATACTTTGGTCTGGGGGAACGTGATTTATTTATATACCCTTGCTTTCTGAAGTGGCAGTTTATAGTGAGGGAGAAATCAGCTTGCCCTGTTTTCTGAAAATCGCACCTTGCACATTTGGCCATTTGATTTAAACTTTTTTTTCTATCAGTAAACCGTAATTTGACCTTGACATTTAGGTCACCTATAGAGGGGAGGTATGGCAGAAGAAATTCTAAGATCAAAAGGTCTCTGTATGAAAAAATATGGATAAACCAAGCTCCTTCCCGTTTTTAATTGCAAATTTCCAGCATGATTGTTATGACATTATAAAGTGACCTTGAAAAGGTGAATTGGTACGACATTAGAAATAGACTTTGAAGAATGAATTGCTATGATATTATAAACAGACCTTGAAGCATGCATTGTTATGACACTATAAACTGACCTGATAGTATAAATTGTAATGACATTATAAATGACCTTGAAGCATGCATTGGTATGACATTACAGACCTTGAGGCAAGAATTGGAATGACATTATAAACTGACCTTGAAGCATAAATTGTTATTACATTATACTGTACTTTAGAAACATGAATTGGTATGACATTATAAACTGACCTTCAAACATGTTTGGTGATAACAATCTAAACTGACCTCCAAGCATGAATTGTTATAAAATTATAAACTGACCTTCAAACATGTATGGTTATGACATTTAAATACTTTATCTTCAGGGTCCATAAGGGCAGCAAAATCACAACTAGGACATCTGTAAAAGAATAATAAGTTTCAAAATAAGACTTTGATAATGATATTCTGGTAAAATCAAAATCAAAAAGTTTGCATAATGTATCCAAGATTCACAATTATTTGTTGCTTTGTTATCATTGTTTTAAATTAGCAATGGAAGTAAATCCCTGCAAATATCAGAGGGCTTCAGGTAGTGGCTCTTGAAGTTATTTATTTTTCGATAGACGATGTTGACAGAACTTTTTTTTGTTACCAATGTAAACAAGATGGCGGCGATAATAACAAAACTGGCTCAAAGTTAAAAATATTTATTTTCACTTCTTGTTCATTGTTAAATTGAATACTATACACAAAACATTCATTTGGATGATAATAATATATTTTTGTAGTTTTTTTTTCTTTTTCCAGATAGCAAATTTCATGGAGTACATTTTTTTGTGTTTACCAAAAATATATTCATGCGCCAGGTCATTTCAATGACTTAAATATAAATTGTACGTTTGATAGAGGTTATGATTGGGGAAATTTAATTCCTTATCTCCAATCAGGGCTTCAGAATTCCCATTTCCCGTTTCCCAGGGAGAGTAAAAAGAATTGTCAGGTAAGTGAAAATGCAGGTACCAGTTTCCCGTCGGGTAAGTAAATCGTCTTTATGTGGTACTTTCCAGTGCGTTGTATTCTTGTTTGACAGTCAGTAATTGGGCAAAATCTAGTTTAGGATTAACATATTTTAAAAGGAATTTATTGGTGTATAAACTGGACCAAGTCACTCACAAACAAATAAAAGTCCTTCAGATGTTTATCAGACTTTTATTTATTTGTGAGCGACTTGGTCCAGTTTATACACCAATAAATTCTAATATTGTTCATCTGCTATAAGAGAAGATGATAAAATTGTTTTTTTTTCCCAATAGGCTTCAACAGAAACTGATCTTCCATTGTACATGTTGTAGCCACCCAGATAAGCACAAAATAAGATTTTTTTGTAAGTATACCCCCAACCCCCTTTTCAACTCATCAATCCTAAACACTTTGAAAAGATTTTGCATTGTGGAATCAGAGGAGAAGAAATATAAACATTTGACCAATCAGAATCAAGAATTTTATATGTTACCTCACTACACTTGATATTTTCTATTTTACCTAACTAGATCTGCTAAATCTGCTAAGTTGATATTTTCTTCCTGGACTCTATCTTCATACTTGGACAAAATATTACTGGACAGAGCTTTCTGTAATTGACCTACATATATACAATAACTACATGTTCATACATTTATTGGTTCAATAAATTTCAGAAAAAAATTGACATTGTTACAAAAACATTTATCTATTTACCTGCAATCGCCATATATTTTGTCTATGGTAGATTTACCTTTAAACCATAAGGTCTAAATAATATTTTTTTTGAAATTGAGAGAAGAATTAAATATTACAATTGGCCATTTGAATATCCTTTGTCAAAATACACCCTTATTGTGTATATTGAAATTGCTGCAAAAATAAAATGGGATATCTAGACTTGGTGTTTATCCAGAAGCAAATAAAATGGCTCTGTAGACATCCCCTAAGGCATAAATATATTAAAGTATTGTGTCATTTGTAACTGTTAAAAGTCCCATAACTCTGGAATGACAAACCATAAAATTTTCAAAATAAAAATGAGTACCTACACCAATCCCAACATCAATGTTAAGTTAAGTCCCACTCTGGAACCACAGAGCAAAAACATTTCAAAATCAAAAGGAAGCTTTCTTCTGTCAATCCTGAATCATCTTTTGATGTTGTGTTCAATGACATGAGAAAGCAAATTTGAGTTATTGTACAAGTGTTGAAGAAAGGAAGGACAGAAGGACATTCAAATGACATTGGTATACCACAATGTATATATATATATATATATATGTCACATCTTTCCATGGGCGTATAAAAGTCATAGCTTCAATACTATGTTTTCACTGGACCAACAAACCCCTTAAACTTTTGATGCAGTAAAGGTTTATGAGCTATGAGAAATATGAAAAGAAGACAAAGGATTTGCTGGTGATGATCCAACAGTCACAGACAAATGTAAACTCTACCTATTGTTGAGTTGCATGTCAAATACTATATTGTGATAATTAATCAGTTGCTAAGTAATGTAAACTTACTCATGGGGTAGGATGCATCACACCCATCTGTCATACACAATAAGTCTGCCTGTAAACACAGATCATGTTGATTAAATATACACCTTCATAAACTGTTGACACAGGGATATATCTCACATATGTGTAATTTGGAACAGTATACTGTGGATTCATTATTATTCATTGGATACCAATTTTCGTGGATTTCGTGGGTGCAGGTGAACCACGAAGTTAAGTGTTCAACGAATTGCAATTTTTCTATAAGATAATATATGCAGACTTTGGCAAAACCAATAAAATCAAATGTCCACGAATATGCAAGTTTTCCTCAATCCACGAAAATTGGTACCCACGAAAATAAATGAATCCACAGTAATGCAAATGTTGAAATTTAAATGGCACTTTTAACAGGTAAACTACTCAAATATTTCATGAACTGTAACTGAAGGGTCAAGGTCAAAATATCTCCATGGAAAGTAAATGTGTCAATGATAAAACTAATCCATACTAAAGATCAATGACCTACTATCAGCAGTTCCTCTTTAACTGACCTAATTACAAACTAAATTATTGATGCTGCTGACTCGAGTATCATCATGCCTTAGTCTTACTTCTCTGATTTTGTTAAGGCAAGACAAACAACTGTCAAGTTTTGTACGGTATTCTGGGATTTTCGTCTTCACCTTGTATCACAACTTATTGGTCCAGTTTGTTTTTTTAATGAAGTCAGAAAATCTTAATGCAGAAAGGTAATTTACTTGAAGAAATATATTTGTCAGATTTTGTTTTATAGGTAATATCTCTATCATGTCTATACAAAATAGAAAAATAAACAATCAATTTAAAAACATTAACACTGAAATGTCACTACTGTTTAAGTGATCATGATTCAATTTATGTTGAAAGTCATAAAGAATCAAAGCGCGAAAGCGCTGTAAAGGCAGTTAATTACAGGTTGTGTGTATTTTTAGTCCAGTTATATCACTATCTTGCATAGTACATTGTACTTATCAGAGGTGACTTTCAGTATTTAAGATTTAGAGTTCTCTAATGATATTGAACAAGTTTTATGAATGTCATATTCTGAGCACTATATGAAGGCGATTGTTCTCACTTATTTATGAACTAGTGCATTATGTCCAGTTTGTACCTTTTTTATCTATGTTTATAGTCAAATACTGTTTAAAATAGTTTGGCATTTTCTTTTTAGTAATAAGTAAATGTTATCAACTGTATTTTATTCAACTTTGCAAATGTGGTTTGTGACTGGTAAGTACAATGTATGGATGATAGTTGTTTCATTGGAAATCATAACACATCTCCTTATTTATATAATGATCTATATTCAACGACCTCAGGTACAAAAAAAATGTATGTAACTAAACTATGATGGGAAACCTTTGACTTCTTTCTTTTATATAAACTTTTGATTTGGTACCATAGAACTATGTAGAATAAATGTACATTGCAACATGTCAACTCTTTCAATGACAATACTTTTTTTAGAAACTATAACTCCAAGCAAAATTATATTTCCGAGTATAAAGTAATTTATGAATGAAACAAGAGTGCACATGCTGAAATGTCTCGCCTTCTTTTCTAATCATTGATATTATGTTGATAGTCCTAAATATAAAGCTTTATTACAACTGTCACATAAACTTAACATTAACCAAGTAAACTAAGCATTGACCAATGAACCAAGAAAACGAGGTCAAGGTCAGATGAACCATGCTAGGCAGGCATGTACAGCTAACAATTCTTCCATACAACAAATATAGTTGACCTATTGCTTATAGTTTAAGATAAACACACCAAAACACAAAAACTTAAAACTGAGCAACTGACCTTGAAAATGAGGTCAAGGTAAAAAAAAAAAACCTGTGTGACTGACAAATAGATCATAAAATATTTCCATATACCAAATACAGTTGAACTATTGCATATAGTATTAGAAAAAAAGACCAAAACTCAAAAACTTATCTTTGACCACTGAACCATGAAAATGAGGTCAAGGTCAGATGACACCTGCCAGCTAGACATGTACACCTTACAATCATTCCATACACCAAATATAGTAGACCTATTGCATACAGTATAAGAAAAACAGAAAAAACACAAAAACTTAACTATAACCACTGAACCATGAAAATGAGGTCAAGGTCAGATGACACCTGCCAGTTGGACATGTACACCTTACAGTCCTTCCATGCACCGAATATACTAGACCTATTGCTTATAGTATCTGAGATATGGACTTGAACACCAAAGCTTAACCTTGTTCACTGATCATGAAATGAGGTCGAGGTCAAGTGAAAACTGTCTGACGGGCATGAGGACCTTACAAAAAATATTAACTTTTTTTAAAGTAGTCACTGAACCATGAAAATGAGGTCAAGGACATTGGACATGTGACTGACGGAAACTTCCTAACATGAGGCATCCATATACAAAGTATGAAGCATCCAGACCTTCCACCTTCTAAAATATAAAGCTTTTAAGAAGTTAGCCAACGCCGCCGCCGGATCACTATCCCTATGTCGAGCTTTCTGCGACAAAAGTCGCAGGCTCGACAAAAAGGAGTTCTTAATTAAGAAATAAACTGATTCGCTGAGCGCAGCTGGATACACCCGCAGAGGGCCAACCCTGAACAGTTGGGGCAAAAATGGACACAATATTCAAGCTTGATACAGGTCTGAATTTGGATTGTAATCAAATATTTGACATATTATAGTTTCTGAATAAATGTAGTCACAGAACTTGAAATCGATTATATGAATTGAATTTATATTCAATTAAAGATTTCTTGCTGTTGTGCAATACACTGTGCTGTTGCGCAATACTTAATAAATCTGTTGCCAGACTATAAACAAATAAAGTTCAATTTCTTCTCAATGTCATATTTGAAATTTATGAAAATCAATAGGGAGATTACATCAATAGCTATAAATAATTCACCAAAGTTTCATGCGAACTGCTTAAAGCATTTTTGAGTTGTTGTCCAAAAACTGGAAAATCCCCGCTTTTTTAATGAATAAAACCCCATAACTCAGAAATGTAAAATCTAAAATTTATAAAATTCTAAAGGGAGCTTACGGATTGATAATTTAGTCTTAGATGCAAGATTTTTTTATCAGTTGTTAGTGGCTTTGAACTAGCTGTCAGTAAATGCGAGTACTCTCAGATCTGTACTTAGTGTCTTTTTGTTGTTTGGATGTACAACTACCCGGCCTCGTCCACTTGTATTTGTATTTATCCATCTGATGAGTTAAGCCTCTTTCAACTGATTTTTATAGTTCATTCTTATATTGTACTGTTACACCACTGTCCCAGGTTAGGGGGTGGGTTGGGATCCCGCTAACATGTTTAACCCCGCCACATTCTGTATGTACATGTATGTGCCTGTCCCAAGTCAGGAGCCTGTAATTCAGTGGTTGTCGTTTGTTTATGTGTTGCATATTTGTTATTCGTTCATTTTTTGTACATAAATTAGGCCGTTAGTTTTCTTGTTTGAATTGTTTTACATTGTCATTTCAGTGCCTTTTATAGCTCACTGTGCAGTATGTGCTTTGCTCATTGTTGAAGGCCGTACTGTGACCTATAGCTGTTAATTTCTGTGTCATTTGGTCTCTTGTGGAGAGTTGTCTCATTGGCAATCATACCACATCTTCTTTTTTATATTTACATCAACAGATATAAACAATTCACCAAAGTCAAGGTGAGACAACAAAACTTAGTTGTAAGATCTCTGAAATTTTTTACACGGTACAAGTTTTTCTAATTGTTGGAGATTGCACGGTGACAGTAACACCTGTAACTGCTTTACCCATTTCTTATGCACTTTGGTTCGATAAACTCACTGAATATCATACCACATCTCCTTATTTTTATATGCATTACAATTTACATGTGCATGTAATTGTAAATAACATTCATATATATATATCAGAACAAACTTCATTGCGTCACTTTTATTTATGCATCCTTTGGCACAATACAAGTTCTAAAATTACACAACATAAAACAACTAAATGTTATTTCAGATGAAAGTTTTGTGTCAGTTCCAGTCATAGGATTTATTAGAATTTTGTATGTTTTGCCAAGTCCAATAATTAGCTCTATGTGCACGTGTTAATTGGAGACTTTTCTATCCTGTATAAGAGTTTTGGAACTAATTCTGTTTCTTTTTTTGAAAAAAGTGAGCAAACAAATCATGCACATTTAAACCTTTGTCTGCCATCACACTGTCACCTGGATCACATAATTGAACTATTCTACATCTTTCAACTATTTCACAGTCACTGGTACAACCAACATATGCATTGGAGACATAGTTGACTAAACCACCAGGAGTCGAACATACAAGTATTTTCAGTGTTTCTGTTTTTATATGATGAAAAGGTTGCCTGAGCTCTAGGAGCTTTAGGTTTTATCACGGGATATTCTGTGCTGTCAATAATAATCCAAGTTGTAGGAAACTTTAATTTGAAGTTGGATGGCGAAAAATACCTGACTAAACCACTAAATGGCCAAGTGTTAGCCTCACGCCACTGTTTAGACATAAAACCAATCCATGTTTACACAATATTCTTAACACTAGTTTCAATCTAGAATCTAGACAGTTCAAAGTTGGTTGTATAATGCCTCAATTTCATCAAAGTCATAAAAAAACTGATTTTCAAATGACACCCTATCAATTTGAAAATATATGTATCTCAAACAATGTGCTGCTGGACCAAGTGTGGTCAAAACAAATAAAATTTAGTATACAAGTTACAACTCTAAACCGGTATATAAATGCATGGCTGTGTCACGTGTCTTCATTTCAAATTCTCTGCTGAAAATATAGGCATTGATGGTGTTTGCGTAATTCCATCTGTGAAGCTCAACATTAGCTCGGCAGTTGGTGGTGGACAGTCATAAATCATGTCTGCAGTATGAATGACTTCTTCAGGAAAACCAACTTTACAATCAAAACTTTCCTCTAGATTTCTACTACAATATTCATCAAGTTTAGTTCTTTTGTTTTCACAGGAAACTGCCCTGATTTTTCTTTTTGCGGACGATTCAGTCTCTTGCTTGGTCCAGGAAAATAGGCTGGGAATGGCAGTAGACTTAAGTCTCTGTATGGTGGGTTTGCAGCCTGAAAAAGGTTATAAAACATTAGTTTTTTGATAATTAAATGAACTTTCATTAGCAATGCATACTTTATACTACCTGGCAAAATATTAACTAGATTTATTCATTACAATCTGGATAAAAATATGTTAGCCTGATTCAATGTACATCAAAATGTATGTTATGTAAATCCAAAGGACAAACAATGAGAGACGTATGCAACAAACATACATTGTTTGTACCTAAATAACTATAATATAGATGAGAGCATGTCATTGTTTTGTTCCTGTTAACATTGTCATTGACATTTTTCAAGAAAGTCTATGAGGCATAGCTTATGCATTCCTGTCATTACTACATTAGCATAATTACTGCTAAAATAATTCTCAGTATGATATACCTCTTGTAAGAAATCATTATAATTGTAGCAAGCACCAAAAAATCTCAAACAGATCACATTGAATCGTAATCCAAAAAATTATGACGTCTTGAATTAACCACCCCCTTTTATTCTAAAACGATAATTGTGGTTGTAAACAGACTTTGGTTATTTCGCATGGCGATTACATATATAACTATATATTTTAAAAAGAAAATAGACTTTTACCATGAATAGTTTCCTGCACGTAGTCTTTTTCAGTAAAATATGCCTTGCAAACAACAGCTGATTGAGATGGACTCCACGATTTCATCGTGTTCTCGTCCAATCTGCGTATGGGCCATGGCGTTGATCCAACTTTTCCTTCTTTTTAAGTCATTTGGAAATGCATGTCCTCCTCTTAAATGACATCCAGGTACACAACAACAAGTACTTGGCATCGTTAATTAAAAATGCAACTGTAATAGTTGCACAGTGCAGAAACTGGAAGTTGAAGAACAGGATCGGCTACCACGGCGCCACCTATTCAGGAACGATAATTTGCTACTTTATATAACTGCGAAATAACAATAACGTTAGATGGGTTCGCGTGCATAAACAGAAATGCGCTTTAAATTGTATAATATAATTCATGTTCAGTTTAATTATTATATCAACGACTGAAATGATTTATAAACATCTAGATTGCAGATAACACTCGAAATCAACCTGACCTCTTTCCACACAGAATTCAAATAATTCTAGTTTGTCAATCGGTTGACTGCTTATAATGTAAAATACAAATATATCAAAAGTTTTTAAAACTAACAAAACACAATGATCGTTTCTCTATTTCCCAATGTAAATGAAATGAAACAAAAAACATTTTATATCACAATAAGAAGAGGAGAGAATCAACATTTTCCGGATCTACTTGGAGCCTAATGACCCCCCACGTAGATAAGTTGGATATCGCGGAAAGAAAGATTAACACGGCAACTAGAAAGGCATTAAAGCACTGCCTTTAAAAAGGTTATACAAGTATTATGTGAAAATAACATTATCAATGATACACTTAAATGAGGTCAAGTTCAAATGAACCCTGTCAGACAAACATGTACACCTTTCAAGCTTAAGGTTACATACCTTCCCGTGTCCAAATACAGACTCCTTGGCATATCTTTCAAGACACTCCTGGCAAAACAGGTGCCCCTCGTAACACTGAATCATCATCTCAAATGCCACTTCACCATAGCAACAACCACACTCTATCAACTGACCACTTTCTTCATACTCATGTTCGTTAACACTGACTGCCATTATATGGTCCTGTTCCTATAAATAACAATAACATTTTACATGTATGAAGCAGAGTTTTGATCTCAGAAATGTTAAATTTTATAATATTTCTAATTATAACAATAAATTAAACAATACTGATATTTTGAAACTTATTTTCAATCATATTTCATTTCAAATTGTAAGACTATTGATAATGGTTTCTTTCTTTTTTTTTCTAAACAGTAAAATCATGTACTTTTTCATATCTGTTTAATAAATGACTTTGGATTTAAAATCTTTAATTCTTACCGGTCTCAAGTCTGAGAAATGGAATTTGAATGACCAACTACATAGTCATTCTATTCAGTTGTACTTGAGAAAAGTGTGACAGAATGGATGAACGGGGGAACAGATGGAAGGGCAAGAAGTATGCAATATAGCCACACTCTCAGAAGTTTGATATATAATTATTTAAGCAAGACCAGGAAATTATAATGTCTTTTCATCAATATTATGCAGAAGCTGTTTCATGTTGAAGGACCAGTTAATTGTGGCAAAATTTTGTAATGTAAATTCAAGGGGACCAGTGAGGTTGAAAAATGAAACATAAGAGCACTCCTATTTCATCAATATACAATACACCTTATCATTATTTGTCCTCCATTATGGGACACCACAAACATTTCTATTTCATTTTGACATCACAAGTGAAAACGTCTGACGCTACATATGGAAAATGATTGTAGAATGACATTAATAAGTCTATTATAACAGATTTGCAAAGGTGTAATAGGTATGGATTATTTCCCTTTTCATATTTCCTTTATAATATTTCATTTTGCATTAACTAAAATCTCTTTAGAATTTACATATCTCAAAGGAAAGACATTTTTAGGTCTTTTTATTCATTTGAAATTTTTTTTAAATTTTGCATCAAAATTGATAATTGTTGACCATTCTGAAGAATTTATTCAATAGAAGTATATAATCCTATTTTAATATGAATTAATCAGGATAAGACTGGTTGCCGGTCTGAAGTGTGATGCAAATAAGGACATATATGCAAGCCTCGTGGCATCATGATGACTAAGCTGACTTTGTTGGCTAGATACAGTATGATGGATGGTTTCTGCCTGAAAATACCTTAGCTGTTTTGGTGTATAGCGATAATTGAAAATTCCAATGTACCTTTGTTTCTTCCTCTGTTTTAATTCTGATAAATTCTTTCTCCTGAACTAACTCTGGACAGACAGGAACTTCACTTCTCAAAGGTCTACCACACTTCAGAAACTGCATGCTGATAGTTCTTTCACCATAAACTGAAGATAAATAGTATCAAATCAATTTTCAAAACATGCCTTGGATGAAAAAACATCATCTTAATGTTGCATTAGTAACAACATTAGAGATATTAGGTATTGGAAAATATAGACAGAAACTAGATTATGCAGATCAATTGTTGACACAGATATATCTTGCCTGTGTGTAATTTCTATTGTACCATGCAAATGTTGAAATATAAATGACAACATTACAGACCCCAGATAGAATAAATGTGGATAGTGTCCACATGTGGACACAGATGATGCCCCCGCTTGCATATCATATAGTTATAAAGGGACATAACTCAAGAACGGTAAAAGTGACGCTACCCAAATTTGAACTTGATCTGAGTTTTGTGGTAATAAGCATTGTGTGTAAGTCTCATAACATTTGGTTGAGGCTAACTTAAGTAGAGAACAGAAACTAAAAATTCAGCAATTTTTCTATTTGTAAACACGCATTACTCTAGAACGGTTGTGTATAAGTTCTATAACATTTGGTTGAGACAAACTAAAGTTAGAGAACGGAAACTAAAAATTCAGCAATTTTTGTGTCTATAAAGGGACATAACTCAAGAATGGTAAAAAAGTCGCCACCAAATTTTGTACTCAATCTGTATTATGTAGCAATAAGCATTGTGTACATGTTTCATAACATTTGGTTGAGGCAAACTAAAGTTAGAAAACGGAAACAAAAAATTTGTACTTGATCTTAGTTTTGTGGTAATGATATATTGTGTATAGGTTTCATAATGTTTGGTTGGGTCAAACTTAAGAAACAGAATGGAAACTAAAAATTTTGCAATCTCTCGATTTATAAAGGGGCATAACTCAATAATGGTTAAAGTAACACTACCCAAATTCAACTTGATCTGTGTTTTATCAGTGGAAGTCAAAATTAAACATTGCATTGTATAAAGCATTGATTGTAGTTGATTCAACTATAATCATGGACAAAGGAAGATAACTCCAATTACTTAATATTTAGAAGAAAATAAAAATTTGGCAATTTTTCCATTTACAAAGGGACATAACTCTAGGACGGTTAAGGTGACGCCACCAAAATTCAAACTTGATCTGTGTTTTGTGGTTATAAGCACTGTGTATAAGTTTCATAACATTTGGATAAGGCAAACTAAAATTAGAGAACAGAAACGTAAAATTCAGCAATTTTTCCATTTGTAAAGGGGCATAACTCTAGAACAATAAAAGTGACGCCACCAAAATTCAAACTTGATCTGTGTTTTGTGGTAATAAGCTTTGTGTATAAGTTTCATAACATTTGGTTGTGGCAAACTAAAGCTAGAGAACTGAAACGAAAAATTCAGCAATTTTTTCTATTTGTAAAGGAGCATAACTCTAGAACGGTAAAAGTGACGCCACCAAAATTAAAACTTGATCTGTGTTTTGTGGTAATAAACATTGTGTATAAGTTTCATAACATTTGGTAGAGGCAAACTAAAGTTAGAGAATGGAAACCAATTTTGGGACGTACGTACGTACGTACAAACGGACAAGGGTAAAACTTAATGCCCTCTCCGCTACGGGGGGGGGGGGGGGGGGGGGGGAATAACTAGCCTAAGCCATGCTTCCACTACTTCATCTTTATATTTGCTCCTTGATCTATAATGATATGTATATATCACACTTACCTCCATCCACTTTAATTTCTGCCTTGGCTTGAGAATAAGGGTGCAGTAACGGGTTACTTTCTGAAAATATACAAATTAACAGTCACCAGTAATAATATGCTGTGGTTCTATAACAGTTGGTGCTTAAACTAAGATTCATCTCTTTCAATCAGCCACTTGTCCCTGATGAATGAAAAGAAATTTAGTGAACAAGCTTACAAACCGCATTACCATCGCATACATAATATTGCCCCCTCTATGAAAGTCCTACCCCATTTCAGACTGTTCTTATTTATGAAGGTTTTGGTGAGTGAAAACAGCTCACTACTAAATTAATTCTAGTCTTAAACAGTCATCTGAAAAGTCTGAACAGTAAATAATTCAGTCATGTTCAGTCTTTCAGTCAATTTCAAGACTTATCCACTGGTAAATTCAGAACTGTTTAAAAAAATTTACCTGCAATCAATTTAGTACTTGTACGGTTCAGAAGCTTTTCAGACAATTCAGTATGATCTTGATGTGTACAGGTAAATAACAATTGCTGAACAGTCTGAACAGATCTTAATTGACTTCCAGCAAATTGTCTGAACAGTACTGAATTTGCTGCAATGGATAAGTCTGAAAATTGACAGAAAGACTGAAAACTATTAACTTATTGTTCAAATCAAACTGTTTATCGGTGGCTGTACTTATAATAATGGGTCAAAAGCATTATATATACCCGCCACAACTTCGTTGCATGGAGTATGATTAAGTGTACAACATCGGAGTATGGGACAGATGGGCGGATACATCCTTTTTTCTTTAGAGCTGTAAATGATACTCTAAACTTCGATAAAAGCTAATTTAGAGAGGTACTCTAAATCCATAAATAATTCTTCATTAAAAATATAACAATGATGAAATCATCCCCTTAAAATTCAGGCTATTGGTAATAAGGAACAAACAATGATCTTTTTAAATAGGATACAAAATGATTCTTTTTCATGTATTTCGCTAAATTGACTGAAAACTTGTTTAAATCAATGATTCAATTCAAATATAAATAATTTTTCAATGTTCTATATTTTCATCTTGGGTAAGAGCTGATCATGTGACAAATACAAGTTGACAATTAGGACAATACTTTTTCAAAATCTTATTCTTATAACTCAACATTTATCTTATCAAATCCATTAGCCGTGTTTTTTCTGTATTTCTAAAAAATCAGCTTTTATCTACGCAAATTCATTAGCCCTGTTGTTTTGTGTTTCCAATAACTCACCTTTCATCTTAGTGAACTCCTGGGCCCTGTTATTCATGTTTCTAATAACTCACCTGTCATCTAAGTGAACTCCTGGGCCCTATTATTCACGATTCCAATAACTTACCTCTTATCTTAGTGAACGCCTCGGCCCTGTTATTCATGTTTCTAATAACTCACCTTTTATCTCAGCTAACTCCTGGGCCCTGTTATTCATGTTTCTAATAACTCACCTTTTATCTCAGCTAACTCCTGGGCCCTGTTATTCATGTTTCTAATAACTCACCTCTTATCTTACTGAACTCCTGGGCCCTGTTATTCATGTTTCTAATAACTCACCTTTCATCTTAGTGAACTCCTGGGCCCTGTTATTCATGTTTCTAATAACTCACCTTTCATCTTAGTGAACTCCTGAGCCCTGTTATTCACGTTTCCAATAACTTACCTCTTATCTTAGTGAACTCCTGAGCCCTGTTATTCACGTTTCCAATAACTTACCACTTATCTTAGTGAACTCCTGGGCCCTGTTATTCACGTTTCCAATAACTCACCTTTTATCTAAGTGAACTCCTGGGCCCTGTTATTCATGTTTCTAATAACTCACCTCTCATCTAAGTGAACTCCTGGGCCCTGTTATTCATGTTTCTAATAACTCACCTTTTATCTTAGTGAACTCCTGAGCCCTGTTATTCATCATGATGTTTCGAATAACTCACTTTTTATCTTTGTGATCTCCTGAGCCCTGTTATTCATGTTTCTAATAACTTACCTTTTATCTAAGTGAACTCCTGGACCCCGTTATTCATGTTTCTAATAACGTACCTTTCATCTTATTGAACTCCTGGACCCTGTTATTCATGTTTCTAATAACTCACCTTTCATCTTACTGAACTCCTGGGCCCTGTTATTCATGTTTCTAATAACTTACCTTTTATCTAAGTGAACTCCTGGACCCCGTTATTCATGTTTCTAATAACTTACCTTTCATCTTACTGAACTCCTGGGCCCTGTTATTCATGTTTCTAATAACTCACCTTTCATCTTAGTGAACTCCTGGACCCCGTTATTCATGTTTCTAATAACTCCCCTTTCATCTTAGTGAACTCCTGAGCCCTGCTATTCATGTTTCTAATAACCCACCTTTTTACCTTAGTGAACTCCTGAGCCCTGTTATTCATGTTTCTAATAACCCACCTTTTATCTTAGTGAACTCCTGGGCCCTGTTTTTCATTATAGTTGTCATTACTTTATGAGAAGGAGCATAGTGCCCATTAAAACATTTCATAATGTTTCTTATATCTTTAAGAGAGATCTGAAAAGACAAAATATTGGTTTTTTTGTGTGTTTCATTAGAAATTTGCTTTTTTCACATGAAGAGTAAGATATCTAAGACATTATATAGCATCCATGAGTTCTCAGATGTAATTAATTTAATGTTAGTTGTAAGATGTTAAATTGCACACTACCAAAGTTGAGATAGCACTATCTAATCAAAGTGATTGTAAGCACTGTAGGGTAAAAATTGCTTTAATTTATAGGTGGGATGTAAAATTAGTTAATTTATAGGTGGGAAGTAAAATTAGATATTGCATTGTACAGAGCATTGGGTGTAGTTGGTTCAACTACAATAATGGACAAAGGAAGATAACTCCAATTTTAAAGATAACTTTAAAAATAACATCATTTTGTAACTTGAAAATCTAAGCATATATTTCATTGATAAATTTCTGGAAATGTTCATGGATAGGATGTTTAGAATGTTATGAGCAATGCACTATATTTTGTGTATTTAAAAGTAGGGATAAACCTTGGAAGATTTAGATATCAAGTCAGTACCATAGGGTTTTGATTGCATTTCCTGCAGTAACCTGAATATAGCATGTCCTGTTTGGCATAATTTGATCTCAAATTCGGCTGGAAAAAATGTTCCATAATTTTTTTTGTAATGAAATTCATACATATGTCATATATAACAATTGTAAACATTCAAGCTCATAATATACAATTAAACCTCTCAAAAGTCATTTGGAAAAATTCCATTGCTGATAAAAATTATTTTATAAACAAAATCTATTTTTATAGAAAAGTTTGATCTGTTTCTAACCAAATAAAAACAAGAGTGTGTAACCATATTACACATTATGCTGTTCACACTATCACATTTCCATGTTCACACTATCACATTTCCATGTTCACACTATCACATTTCCATGTTCATTGAACCATAATTTGGCATAGTGTTTAAAAAATTCACATCATAATGAACATATGGACTGAAGTACTATAACTACATGGTAAACCAGGAACCTGATGTTCAGTAGTTGTCGTTTGTTGATGTGGTTCATAAGTGTTTCTCATTTCTCGTTTTTTATATAGATTAGACCGTTGGTTTTCCTGTTTGAATGGTTTTACACTAGTCATTTTTGGGGCCCTTTATAGCTTGCTGTTCGATGTGAGCCAAGGCTCCCTGTTGAAGGCCGTACTTTGATCTATAATGGTTTACTTTTACAAATTTTGACTTGGATGGAGAGTTGTCTCATTGGCACTCATACCACATCTTCTAATATCTACAAACTTTGAATTTTGTATGGGACAGACTGAAATGCCTATAAATATATGCCCTGCCTACCATCTGAGCAGATGAGTCTTCGCTCTTTCTTCTAAATACAATGTGCTAACAGGAAAAGATATACATGATATAAGATGTACTGCCCAACTGGCCAAACAGGCAAGTTCCCTCCTAAATTAACTTGTCTTTTACATAATGTACATAAATAAAATTTACTGACTAAGTTAAAATTAGGTTCAGTTTGTTCTTGGCCAGTAGGCAGCCTCTTATTTATACCCCTTTGTTCAATGAAGAAGCAACAAATACCAATTATCAAGTCTTTGATTTGACCTGTGCAAGAATTGAAACCACTTTGGTGAGGCCAGCACTCTATCATGAGACCACAGATATGGTCCACCATAGATTTTAAATCAATAACAAATCACAACAAGAATGTGTCCATAGTAAACAGATGCCCCACTCCCACTATCATTTTCTATGTTCAGTTGACCGTGAAATTGGGGTCAAAACCCTAATTTGGCATTAAAATTAGAACGACCATATCATAGGGAACATGTGTACTAAGTTTCAAGTTGATTGGACTTCTACTTCATCAAAAACTACCTTGACCAAAAACTTTAACCAGAAGCAGGACAGACAGACGGAAGAACCAACGAACGGACGAACGAATGCACAGACCGAAAAACATAATGCTCTACTATTGTAGGTGGGGCATAAAAATGTAGAAAGAAAACATAACTAGTAAAAACAACATGATTCCTACATTTGCCACAGGTACTTCTACATTTGGTCAGTATCATTCAGTTAAATGATTCCTACATTTGCCACAGGTACTTCTACATTTGGTCAGTATCATTCAGTTAAATGATTCCTCAATTATCTCCTTGTATATACTGTTCTGGATTCAATGTATCTTTTAGTTTGTTTTTAATCACCTACCCATTTGAATTCTGACTGTAGTAGCATCTCACACTGGTTTCTGTAGGAACCAGTAACATGGCTGCTGTATTCTTTGTAATAATCAGTCTTAGGTAATGTCTGTAAGTAAAATCACTAGCTTTTAATGTGTAAACAATATATTTTTACTGTGCATATTTAGGATTTTTACTAATAAGCTGTTTTCAATCGAGAAAAAGTAACAAGTTAGACAATGGGACTTTTTAAGGGACATTGTGGATTTTTAAAATTAAAATATTGCTCACGAGACTGATGTTTAATTTCTAGAGCATTGTGACATTTCCAGAACTTATCTCTGTTACATGAGGCTGAGATTTATTTTTTTAAGAAAATGTGGATTTTCTAGAACCTATTTTTGTGATCAGAGGCTGAGATTTATTTTTTAGGAAAATGTGGATTTTCTAGAACCTGTCTTTGTGATCAGAGGATGAGATTTATGTTTAAAACTGTACTTTTGGATTTTCCAGAACCTTCTTTTGTAACTGTAGGTTGAGGTTTATTCTCAAATTGTGTAGGACATTGTTTATTTTCTAGAACTTACCTTTGGTACCTGAGGTTGAGGTTTTTTTTTTCAGGTAGCACTCCAGAGTTAGAAAATAATCAAAGCGTGAAAGTGCTGTAAAGGCAGTTAATTACAGGTTGTGTGTATTTTTGGTCCAGTTATATCATTATCTTGCATAGTACAGTGTACTTATCAGAGGTGGCTTTCAGTATTTAAGATTTAGAGTTCTCTAATGATATTGAACAAGTTTTATGAATGTCATATTCTGAGCATTATATGAAGGTGATTGTTCTAACTTGTTTATGAACTAGTGCATTATGTCCAGTTTGTACCTTGTTAATCTATGTTGATAGTCAAATACTGTTTAATATAGTTTGGCATTTTCTTTTTAGTAATAAATACCAGTTATCAACTGTATTTTATTCAACTTTGTAAATTTATGTGGTTTGTTAATACTAGTAAGCATGGATGATAGTTGTTTCATTGGCAATCATACCACATCTCCTTATTTGTATAATGATCTATATTCAACGACCTCAGGTACAAAAAAAAATGTATGTAACTAAACTATGATGGGAAACCTTTGACTTCTTTCTTTTATATAAACTTTTGATTCGGTACCATAGAACTGTGTAGAATAATCCTGTTGAACTTATCGTGCACAGATGACTTTGTCTATCATTTTATATATGTATGATGGTACCTGCTATCCTTGGATTCCACAGCTTTAAGAATATGGCGAACACATGTTTATATGCCATGTATATGAAACACAGCTCATGGTAAAGTATGCCAACAAGAATGTTGGTATTAAATCTCAGTGCACTTTGATGTTTATGAGCAATTTGTATGACTGTTTGATATAATTAACTCGCACATAGTATATGTGTGTATCTGTGGAGTTACATATTGGATATACCAAGCATATATTTTACATGGATGATGATAATAGATATTGTGGCATTAGTATAAAATACACTTTATATGGATATGTTATATTAATTTTTTTTGTAAACTATGGTAACATACAGTCAATCTCAAGATATCTATTTTGATATTAAAAGCAATGTAAATTTTACAATGGGGTGGGTACACATTGTCTTCCTATACTTCAGAAAATAAATTTGAACCTTGGTGATTATCACCTTATATATATAATTTTTCTGTACCTCGCCATGGTACCCACTTTTAAGACATAGAAGAACTTTTCCTTATTAATATAAATAGACTATTCTGTATTATTGAATGTTTAAGCATATTCAATGACTTCCATCCTAGGAAAAGTAGTTCATAATGATTGCTTAGTTTATTATACTGTATTGTGTGTATTGCAAGAACATCAAGTAACATAATGTACATTGCAACATGTCAACTCTTTCCATGACAATACTTTTTCTAGAACTATTACTCCAAGCAAAATTATTTCCAAGTATAAAGTAATTCCAAGTATAAAGTAATTCCAAGTATAAATCCAAGAAACTTTTTCCAAGATAGATCAATAACTAGTGTTAGTTATTTTCAATACACCTTATCGCTATTTGTCTGCCATTACTGGACATTACTAAAGATCCCGTAAAATTTTGACGTCATAATAGAAAATATCTGACACCACAATGGAAAAGTGATTGTTGTATGACGTCAAAAGTCCAAGCGAGACAGATTTCCAAATAGCGATAAGGTGTATTGTCACCTATGAGGATACCTGGTCCTATCATATGTTGTATGTATACTTTAGAAAGACAGGAAGTTAGCACTTGCTTCTAATCAATACTTTAATAGTACGCTTGTACTTAATTTACTCTCATTAGGAAGCTAGCAATGTCACAAGTACTTTATTGGTATTGTTGTTGCTATCACAGTCACTTGATCTTGGCATGTATTTCAGATAATTTGCATTCACGAGTGTGTGTGTATCAATTTGGGTCAAATTACATGTCTTGAAAATACTAATTGAGCCTTGTGTAATAATATATCTTCTCTTTTCTAGTAACACTATAATTGTACTACACTACAGTCTACAGTGTAGAATTGCTGCCTTCAGAAATAGTTACACAGTAATAAATTTTATGAGCAAGAGAATATCATTTCGCGAGAAAAGATACGTACATATAAAAGAGGGACGAAAGATACCAGAGGGATAGTCAAACTCATAGATCGAAAACAAACTGACAATGCCATGGCCAAAAATAAAAAGACAAACAGACAAATAATAGTACAGATGACACAACATAGAAAACCAAAGACTAAGCAACACGAACCCCACCAAAAATGGGGGTGATCTCAGGTGCTCCGGAAGGGTAATCAGATCCTGCTCCACATGTGGCACTCGTCGTGTTGCTTATGTTATTACAAATCCGGTAAATAGTCTAATTCGGTAAGTCACATTCGTGAAAACGGAGGATATTGTAGTTACGACATAAGGAACATATCAGATATCATCTGTGAAACGGTTATTCCATAACGGTCAACCAACTTGTGATGGCGTCCGTAAAATTTACGAAGGGATGACTTCAATTTCACCATTTGGAACTCTTGCTTTAATAGCTTCCTTGTGAGCAGCAATCCTCTATCAAGGAAATCATGATAGGAAACACAAGCCTGGGAATATCGTATCAATTGGGAGATATATACTCCGTATGCAGGCGCTGCTGGAATGTTGCTACATAGAAATGGAAAGTTCACAATTGGGAAGCTGAAATCATCTCTTTTGTCGTAAAGTTTTGTTTTCAACCGACCCTCACTGTCAATTTCTAGATGTAAGTCAAGATATGAGGCAGACTTAACTGTATCTGTGGTATCCTTTATCTCTAGTTCGATGGGATAGATTCGTTCAACATAGTCACCAAATTTGATGTGTAAGATGAACATTGTCTAGTAAGACGACGAATAAAAAGAAGGAGAAAATGGTAGATGTATTGCATACATTACTTTCTACATAAAATCACGTGGATATGTTTACATATATATTTAGACTTGCCGCAGTTTGAACCGTTGCAGTGTTTTGAGTTACCACCAACGTTTAGACACTAGAGTCGTGTATGATACAATATAATAATAAAGCTTCTACTAATTGTGTGAAGTGAATCTTTTTATTTTGTACATTTTAAATGTTTTAATTATCTATCTCCATCTTGTTCTGTCTCTGTTTACAAACTCTCCAGCCTGGTGCATGTGAAGTGTAATGTTCTGTTAGACGTCACGATTTTTGCATAATGTCAAAGTTTTTAAAATGCTATTTTAGTTGTTTTCCCCTTAAAATATGTTTACGAAAATTTTTCCAATCAAAAGTGCATCATTTGCAGATTAATTTCATCTGTTTTTATTCAATAATTGTACACAAATACCTACGACTGTCCCTTTGGTATCTTCATCCCTCCTCTACCTTACGAATGTTTAAACTCGGCGACATTTCCGAAATTTACACACGGTATGAAAGATGGACAGCGTTATTTTGGAGCGATCTGGAGTTCTGACTAAATTTGTTCGACCGTTTGTTTTCACATTTAAAATTTACATAAAATGAAAGCGCGTATTCTAAGCTTTATTTTCTTACAACTTATTTAACTTCATTTAAAATTTTCCATACATATTTCATAATCAAAGCACTGTAAGCGCTGTAGGCAGTTAACCAAAAACCAAGTCAAACGTAATTATGAAAACTGTGGCAGTGTTGCTTCAATTTTTTTTTAAAGATTTGAAAGAACAAACGTATATTGTACATTTATGTTCATTAAATGAATTGATTATTAAGGCAAATTAATTAATATTTCATCAAGGTTTTCAAAAGCAACTCATATATCAATGTAAATGACCCCCATCTTCACCCCCAAGTGCATGATGTTACTCCATACCATGTTTGGAATAAAATGACAGGTGATTATAAAACAGTTGGTCAAACATTCTCTGGCTTTACACTGCTTGAAAGATTTATATGTTTTCTTTAAAATGAGTCATAAATGAAAATTATTATAGGCCCAGAAATAATTTAATAAATAATTAAAGTAAATTCAATTAACCTAGACTCATTTTTTGCATCAATAAAATTTTATAATAAACAAGAAATAATTGTAACAGGATGCCGTTCTCCCAAACAAAGCCCCCATAATTCGTCATTCCCATGGTCTCCTGACATTGGGCAAAGTCCAGTTCATATTGGTTTGGTCTAATAAAGTGATATGCATATGTGACACCTAGGAGATTGACCCTGTATGTCATTCAAATCTTTTTGAAATGATGAACAGGAATAAATATGGTTTAGGTGTGGGTATCTCGACCGTTTACAAGTTCTCAAACGGTGGGGTTACCCCAGGGACTCCCCCTATATTTCATTTGATTTCTTATATTGTCCCATACATGAATACATATGGTTTAGGGGTGGGGATCTCGACCATTTCCAAGTTCTCAAACAGGAGGGGGTGGGACGATACCGGGGACTCCCCCAAATTATTTTCATTTGATTTGTTATATTGTCCCATACATGAATATATATGGTTTAGGGGTGGGGATCTTGACTGTTTACAAGTTCTCAAATAAGAGTGGGTGGGGTGTCCCCATGGACTCCCCCTATATTTCATTTGATTTGTTTTATTGTCCCATACATGAATATGTATGATTTAGGGGTGGGGATCTTGACTGTTTACAAGTTCTCAAACAGGAGGGGGAGGGGTGTCCCCAGGGACTCCCCCTATATTGCATTTGATTTGTTTTATTGTCCCATACATGAATGTATATGGTTTAGGGGTGGGGATCTCAACCATTTCCAAGTTCTCAAACAGGAGGGGTTTGGGTGACCACAGGGACTCCCCATATATTTCATTTGATTTGTTATATTGTCCCATACATGATTATATATGGTTAAGGGGTGGGGATCTCGACCGTTTACAAGTTCTCAAACAGGAGTGGGTGGGGTGACCCCAGGGACTCCCCCCTATATTTCATTTGATTTGTTTTATTGTCCCATACATGAATATATATGGTTTAGGGGTGGGGATCTCGACCATTTCCAAGTTCTCAAACAGGAGGGGGTGGGACGACACCGGGGACTCCCCCAAATTATTTTCATTTGATTTCTTTTATTGTCCCATACAAGTATATATATTGTTTAGGTGTGGGGATCGCGATGGTTTACAAGATAAAAGTACATTTTCAAATTGAATGGGGTTGGGATGACCCCCAGGGACTCACCCTATATTTTGGATGATTTTTTTTATTGTCCTGTTCTCATTACTGAAGACTGCATGTGTCTATCACTTACTGTTTTCGAGAAATAGTCATTTGAAAATTTAAAAAAATAAAATCCCATAGGGTTCTATAGTAAACCCCTCCCTTCTCCAAATACCCCTAAATAGACCCCAATGCACAAACAAAAGATTAATGGCTCCACTAGACATGTTAGTCTAATATTTTATGAAACCCTAAGTAAATCTGACAAACGGTCAAAGTTGTCTTCTTGGACGGTTTGAGTGGATTCGGCCCGACTTGTCTCAGGGACGAGTTGTCCACATTACTTAAAACATCCCATCAACCTCGATTTCCGCATCTGTTTCATGACCTCGTTTCATTCATAAAATAACAACAACCTTATTTGGCAAGATAAGTTAAAAATTACCGCCCACATATATAACTTTATTTCCTCTATCATAAAGATTTGTTGTACATGAACAATATTCCTGCGCATTTTGCCATTTGGGAAATATAAACGACTTGTAATTACCGATTTTCTGCGATGAAATATTTCATACAATTGTTCTTTGACATCGTAGCCAAAAGCACAGGGGACAATAAACTACGTACGGATTTCTATTGAGCACTACTTCCTATGTTTTGGGTAGTTCGACGATCATTTAAGATTTTTCTGGTCATATTTTTTGTATTCCAGAAATAAAAGTATTAAAAAAATGTCCAATTAGTTATAAATAACATAATAGCCAGCTAGATAATAACAATGGCACATTTTTCAGCATTTATTGGGTAGAACACAAATCTAGGGTGCTCGCATAAGGCAGCTTAACTGCCTAAAAATATTTGATGAAAGTTATACGAGTATAAAATTTAAAACTAGCTCTTTTTAAACAATAACTAGTTAAAAGATGAAAAATGGTCACGACCTTCAAAATTTGCGTATTACTGCGCCCGGAAGTGAAGAAATTTAGACAAATCCTAGTATGTTATTCTCTTTTTCAGAAATCCATTTTGTTAAAATAATATTATAAGTATAAAAAAAAGTTCAATTATGCATTTGCATTTTATTATATGGAACGTTTTTGAACTATTTTCCCATAGCTGGTAGTCGGTCATTTTGGCGGGAAATTATATACACTTGGAGGTGCTCCTAGAGAAAGAGCTCATACGTAGACCACATACATATCTGATACCGAAATCGAAAACAATAACGTCCTACAGCTTCACGTGCATAAACCGAAATGCGCTTTAAATTGTATAATATGCAATATAATTCATGTTCAGTCGACCTTTCATTGTTATATCAACGACTGAATTGATTTAAAAACATCTTTAGATTGCAGATAACACTCGAAATTAACCCGACTTCTTTCCACACGGAATTCAAATAACTCTAGTTTGTCAATCAGTTGACTGCTTATAATGCAAAATACAAATCTATCAAAAGTTTTGAAAACTAACAAAACACACTGATCGCTTCTTTATTTCCCAATGTACAAGAATTGAAACGAAAAAACATTTTATATCACAAAAAGAAGATGAAAGAATTCAACATTTCCGGATTTTTATTATGGCTAATGACCCCCCACGTAGACATGTCGGACATGGTGGAAGGAAAAATTAACCCGGCAACCATAAAGGCATTAAAGCACTGCCTTTAAAAATTAAAATTGAACACCAAAAAGTTAAATCATCTTCTATTCCTTGCTTTCTAATACATTAAGCCAATTGTTTGTGTCATACATGTGCATATGATTCACTTTTTGTGTATCCATGGCAACTACCATAAAATATTGCAAAAAGGGGGATGAAAATGTCACATATTCCCCAAACTTTGGTTCAAATTATAATTTCAATCCTTTAAGTGATACATTTTCTGAATCTATTGACATTAATCTACCAAAGGAGCACATGAAAATTAGGTGCCTTTTGCCTCATTTTTCGTAAAATTTAATCACAAACTTTGTGCGACAAAAAAACATTACAATAATTTCCAGACCAATGTCTGGTATGGATACGAAAATTATGGACTGTCAAACAGAAAACAGCCCATAATACATACATTACACAATCTTGATGTTCCTATAAACCCACTATGAAGGCTATATTAATTTTCAGCCAACCGAAAAAGAATTCTATTCCACACTAGCTTTCATATTTGAAAAATCCACAGGGGCCAAAATGAGGAACTACACACCTAACTGTGGAGTGCTACCTCAGACTTTTAAGGAAATTGTAGATTTTCCAGAACTCATGTTTGTTACCTGAGGTTGAGGTTAATTTTCAGACTTTTTAGGACATTGATGTTTTTCTAGAACTTACCGGAGGTTGAGGTTTATTTTCAGACTTTTTAGGAAACTGTTGTCTTTCTAGAACTTACCTGAAGTTGAGGTTTATTTTCAGACTTTTTAGAACATTGTAGATCTTCTAGAACTTACCTTTGGTACTTGAGGTTGAGGCTTATTTTCAGATTTTTTAGGATATTGTGGATTTTCCAGTATTAACATACAGGCATTGTTGATAATCATCTGCCAGTTATGATCTTGTAATCTGTCATACAACTGGTCAACATATGTTGGGTCAATATCTGGAAACATGTTGGTCTACAAAAATATTCTGTTTTATAATCTGCACTAAAATATCAAATTCATAATGTATATAATGTTTGTTGGTGTTAAGGTGACTTTAACTTAAGCAACCTTTTCCCATATCATGGCGGTAAGTTTTTATCAGTTGAGGAAATTGGAGTAGCTGGAGAGAACAGGAAGACTGACAATCCTCGTTAATGGAGATAGAAGTGGAAGACACCTTGCAAAGGAAAAGAGGGGTAAGGGTTCATTCTCAATTCTATTGTAATCACTGTACGTGAACTTCATGACCAGTGGGCAACTGATACTCATTTTTTGCTATTTGTATTGTTGAAACGCTGTGTCAATGTATATATGAGTCATATATACATTGACATATATACCATGTATACCCCACGTCTCCTTTCAATTCATATTCATTTCCTCATTAGTTGTTAAAGTATGAAATAATTAAACAAATGGCTTATTCTCAGTGGTCAACGTGACCAAGAAACGTACTTGATTTATTGTTATCTACTTAGGTCCAGTGGCAAATATTTCAAGAACATTTAGGACAACATAGAAATGTCATACCTCATAAATAATGCAATGAACTAGTTATTCTTTTTAAAAATTCACACTTTATCTTAGAATCTTGTTATTTAACATGTTTAGGATGTTTGTCTATATGTTTTTTTGATCGTGTTATTTTTCAATTGATATTTCATAGCGTGTCTTTGTTGTTATGTTACGCTACTGTATCAGGTTAGGGTGAAGGTTGGCGCCTGTTAAAACCTTCAAACAGCTGCATTTGAATGCACCTGTCCTAAGTCAGGAGCCTGTTATCGTTTGTCGTTTGTTGATGTGGGTCATAAGTGTTTCTCATTTCTCGTTTTTTATATAGATAATTAGCTATACTAACAATGTAAATTATAGGGTGCAAAAAAACAATCACTATCTGCTTGACAGCATATCTATCAAATTACATATCTGTTTTAAAATGCATTACAAGTTAAGACATCAGTTACTAAGCATGCTAAGGGCTTTTCCATTTTAAAAAACATTCACTGGACCCAGGGAAGGCACCTTGAAAACTCATCAATGGATGGGTGTCAAGTACTGTAAAAATGTAAGTGAAATTCTGACTTTGTCTCTATAGGTAGTTACAACATTTTGAAAGTGCCTTCTCTGGCTACTATGTATGTTTAAATTTAACTGCCCTAATTCTGTTTTGAGAATAGTTATATCGTTTTTACTTTGGTAAACATATTTTTTCTTTTATTATTTGATATGCATGTGCCTTACACCATGTACACCTGTTCAAACTAGATACAATGCAGATGTTTATCAAATGCTGCTCTTATTTTTTCTTACCATTTCCTGCCTTAACTTCTGTTTTGCTTCTTTCCTCTTCATTTCAGGTGTGGATTCTTCGTCAGGAATAACAACTGTAGGACTGAAATAATTGTTTCCATGTAAATAAAAGGAGTTAAGGTCACATGTTTACTTTGTTAACAATGTCAGTATGGACTCAATCTGAGTATAATCTAAAACCAGAGACCAATTAATGCTAACATGCCAGAATAAACAGCTGCGCCCTGAGCGCATGATACGCCCGTCGTCTTGTGTGTGAATTTTTATGCAATAATTATAAATAGTTTCTGACATACGGCGCAACATGCGAAAACCCCCCTTTTTTTTCCAAAAAAATCAATATCCCTAAATTAAAATTTTGAATCAAAACCAAAAAGTATACAGATATTTAGATTAATATAACTAAGAAGTGTGTAAAATTTTAATCAATAATCATAAATCGTTTTTGAGATACAGCGCGACATGTGAAAAACACCTCCCCCTTTTTTTACAAAGTACTCAATAACTCATAAATGAAAGTTTGAATCATCACCAAAAAGTATACAGATCTTAAGATTAATATAATTAAGAAGTGTGTAAAGTTTTAAGCAATTTAGAATCATTTAATGTTCAATCATCAAATTCTTACCACAAGTTTGCACAGTTTAATAACACAATTTGCAACATACAATAAGTTCCAGGTATTTATAAAGTTGAAGTATAATTGGTCATTTGTATAGCCAGAGACATAGCATGTTTTCTTTATCGATTGCAAAGACAAACATGACTTCAGAATCATCTTACTAAAAAGTAAAATTACAAAATTAACAATTAATTGCAATTCATGGTATCTGAATGCATGAATTATAAATTGACACACATCAATACATATTTGGAAGATTCAACTTTACCATTGTTTTGTGTAGTGCTTTATTAGCTTTTTTTAAGCAACCAACATATTCATGTAAAACACATCAAAAACATTTAATCGGAACAATTATTTGAAAAGATTGAAGACTTTTAATAACAATTGGCATTTACAGATTTACAGATTAAAGCAATTTCAAAATAGATCTTTTTATGACTTCATTCAAGACATTTGATTTGAGATCCATCTTTATTTCTTGAACCTGGTGACCTATTTACAGAAATCTCTGCTTTGTACATTGTAATTCTATTTCAATATTCATTACTACTTACTTTTGATTTTGGACAATGGCAGGATCTTGAAATTCATCTCTGTTAACAGTAACAGATTTATTGGTCGGTTTGTTGTTTGATGGAACGGAGTTATGGTCTGCAAGTACTGGCACAATAAACTGATGTCCATTATTAGCTTGTCCTGGAACCAAGTTGGGTTGCCTTACGTTGTTCACTGAAGGAACTTGATGAGGCCTATTTGGCACAGTATTTGGTCCTGATGTAGCAACTGAAGGTCTATTTAAACTTACTGAAGCTGATGCATTAGCAGGTCTAATCAGAAAACTTCCATCTGGAACTTGACTAGGATCAGGTCTGTTGGGATTTGCTGTTGATGGATTTTGACCGACTGCAGGCCTGATTGGAATGTCAATTGTTGGAACCTGACCAGCTACAGGTCTGGTTGGATTGGTCATGATAGGAAATTGACTTCCTGCTGGTCTCTTTAGGTTAGCTGTTGTTTGACCAGGTATATTCTGAGTTGTTGACGTCACTGTAGCTTCATTGGGTACTTGTTGTTTTAGTGCAATACCTGGTTTTGATGTGTGATGTCCATATCCAGCAGTTTGCGGTCCAGTAATGGTACTTGATGGCCTTTGAACCCCCATGAGCAGTGGATTAAATGGAGGTCTATTCATGTTTGTCATTTGGTGTACACTTGATTGAGGCCTCTGTACACCAGCTGTTGGATTGAACAATGGATTAAATGGAGGTCTGTTCGTGTTCGTCATTTGGTGTACACTTGATTGAGGCCTCTGTACACCAGCTGTTGGATTGAACAATGGATTAAATGGAGGTCTGTTCGTGTTCGTCATTTGGTGTACACTTGATTGAGGCCTCTGTACACCAGCTGTTGGATTGAACAATGGATTAAATGGAGGTCTGTTCGTGTTTGTCATTTGGTGTACACTTGATTGAGGCCTCTGTACACCAGCTGTTGGATTGAACAATGGATTAAACAAAGGTTTGGGCAGTAGCACTTTATTTGACTGACTTACAACTGTATTAGATTACATTGGTTGAAACATTACTACTTAACTGTGGTCTATTCATACTAATGTTTGATGAATCAGCTGTTATAGTAGACTGATTTCCTATCCTCATGTTCAGAGGGTTTGAAGGATCAGGATAAGATACTGCTAACTTTTGATTGGTCATTTGTTCTGGTACATTTGCAGATGTAATTAATAATGGCAGATTTCCTAATGGTGGTTGTTGAATCATTTGACCACTACGGTGACCAGGAAGTAATATGTCTTGTCCTATTGTCTCGACCTGGTAAGATGGACCAGCTTGTGGAATGTTTGTTGTAGGCTTCTGACTTACAAACTGAGATTTCACTTGTTGTTTTTGTGTGATGTTATTATTTCCAGCAGACTGAGCATTAGATTTCACTTGGTGATTTTGTGTCGAGTTATTCCTGCCTGAAGACTGAACACTAACATTAACTGTTATATTAACGTTCAAATCAGATGCATGACTAACATTTACAGTGGCCGTCACACCTCTATTTGGACTTACCAAAGGATTAGTAAGGATGCTGTTCTTAGTTCCTGTCACACTGGATGGAGTGGTAGTTAGTATATTTGGTACTGTATTGGACCGTACTAGTAAGTCATTACGACCTTGTATTATAGTTTTATCACTTGCTACGACAGAACTAGGAAACGATGACTTGTTTGCTTTGTCCCTCCAGTTAGAGAAGTCTGGACTACTCATAACCTTTTCTAGTTTACCATTGAATTGAGAAGGTTTTAGAGGTGAGTTTTTAATTGGACTGTTTAGCATTGGCAAGTCGTCTTCACTGTCAGATTGGTCAAATATTTGATGTATTAAATCACTAGAATTAGAATCTGAACTGAACTCTATTTCTCTGTACATATCATCACTTGTTGATTTAAAACTGTCTTCTTTTGTCTCTAAAGTCAATGTACTTTTCTCAGCCCCACTCATATCTTTCACACCGGTACAAGATGCTTTGAATTTGCCATCTTTTAAAATGGGTTTGTCTTTCTTTACATGCTTTCTCCCAGGTTTTTCTGATACAATGAGACAATCTTTTGATGGAGTGTGTCCAGTTATTTGCACATCATTGTCATTGTTATGACCTGTTATAGTTGCATCAGATAGACTAATATTTGATGGACTTATTATGTTACTTTTGGCCGGTACGATATCATTCACAGTCTTGTCTTCTTTAGAATTATCTCTCTCACTGTCAGTAGAATCTGTAATATAAACAACAAAGTATGTATATACAAAGAAAAGAGTATCTTCTATAACTTAATATAACAGTCAAGAGTATGACTTAAATAAGTTATTAGAGAAAAATAACATACATTTGTTATTGTGGGCTAAAAAATTTGTAAGGGTTCCGTGGAACCCAGTGTCTCGCCTACTTTTGCTGTTAATCGCAGGCTGAACAAAAATGAGGAAAAAAATTAATAAAAATATTCCTCTCTATACTATCTTTTGATCATAAACAAGCTTCTGTCCAAGTTTGGTACAAATCCAGGATAGTTTAAGAAAGTTGTTAAAATTTAAAAACTTTAACCACAGAGTGAATGTAATGTTTCATGGCAGAAAAATTAAGTCCATTTATAAGTAAAATACGGAAAAAATGGATTTTTTTTTTACAAAATTTACTTTTGAATATAATCTTATGATCATAAACAAGCTTCTGTCCAAGTTTGGTAGAAATCCAGGATAGTTTAAGAAAGTTATTAACATTTGAAAAACTTTAACCACAGAGTGAATATTTATGGACGCCGCCGACGCCGACGGAATGAAGGATCGCTATGTCTCGCTTTTTCGACAAAAGTCGAAGGCTCGACAAAAACTGTGATAACATATGTATGTTACATGTTTGAAAAGGGCAATATATACATCCTTTATTTTGTTAAATTGTATACAAGCTCTATTGATATTATTATTGTCTTTGTATATACTAAACTTTAGAAAGATATAACAGTTCATAGTTTGCCAATCATGCATAGTAAACCTATGTTATTACAGAAAATATATGCCTGTTATAACTAAAGGGTGTTATTACAGCTTCTCTACATCTCTTTAAAGCCTTTGCTCAGACACATATCACAATGTATTTTAATTTATTGTAAGAAATAATGATCAGAGCATGTAATGAGGTTCTGCACAAGATTAAGTAATTCCCAAGTGTCTCATATGATAAGTTACATGCCTGTAATAACTAAGCCTTGTTATTACAGCTAAGTTTATTACTTAAAAGCCTTGTCTCATTGATTTACCATGGTTGATCAAAAATGTATTAATTGAATTGGAAAATTAGTTATCAAGGTTATGTATTAAGTTACTGCGCTAAGTACAAGAATTCCCAAGTGCCCACTGAAAATAAAAATATTTATGATATATTTAACTGATAACAAACATATGTTACTATAGATTAAGAAATAAATGGGGAATGTGTCCATGGGACACAGATGTATGGACACAGATGATGCCCCCGCTTGCATATAACGTTATAAAGGGACATAACTCAAGAAGTGTAAAAGTGACGCTACCCAAATTTGTACTTGATCTGCGTTTTGTGGTAATAAGCATTGTTGATAAGTTTCATAACATTTGGTTGAGGCATACTTAAGTTAGAGAACGGAAACGAAAAATTCAGCAATTTTTCCATTTGTAAATGAGCATAACTCTAGAATGGTAAAAGTGACGCCACCAAAATTTGAACTTGATCTGTGTTTTGTGGTAATAAGCATTGTTGATAAGTTTCATAACATTTGGTTGAGGCAAAATAAAGTTAGAGAACAGAAACGAATATTTCAGCAATTTTTCCATTTGTAAAGGGCATAACTCTAGAACGGTAAAAGTGACGCCACCAAAATTCAAACTTGATTTCTGTTTTGTGGCAATAAGCATTGTGTATAAGTTTCATAACATTTGGTTGAGGCAAACTCAAGTTAGAGAATGAAAAACAATTTTGGGACGTATGTACGTACGTACCTACAGACGGACAAGGGTAAAACTTAATGCCCCCTCCGCTACGGCGGGGGCATAAAAAAGAGTAGACAACTCATGAAAGTATCTGTAATAACAACTGTATGTTATTTTTCTCTAATAACTTATTCAAGTTACACCCTTGACTGTAAAAGGTCCAAATATTGACCCTTTTTCTAGCTCAATTTTCAAATTACGATTTAATGGCCGTTATCACAATGTATCATAGCTTTAATTATGACTAAAAATGGAATAGGTTTTTTTTGTTTGAAAATTTGCATATCAGCATACTTTATGTGATGTCATAATTAGCACTAATCTTTCTTTTTTAACTAATTCAATGAAAGAGTATAAAAATAAGAAGATGTGATATGCACATTAAATTATGACCTCAGTTAGGTTTTTTTGGACAGGAAACACATAGCCCATGCATCCACAAAAAAGATTTTTTAACATTCGGTTTTTTTTTAAATTAAATGAAATATATCTGACTTGAATTCTGAGTTTGTTGAACCCTGTGCTCTATGTTTCCTCAGGCAAAATGTGGTTGAAATCTAGAAGATTGTTTAAACTCTTTGTAGGAAAAACTCAACAATAATCATCTTATATAAAAAGAAAATGTGGTATGATTGCCAATTAGACAACTCTTCACAAGAGACCAAATGACACAGAAATTCACAACTATAGGTCACTGTACGGCCTTCAACAATGAGCAAAGTCCATACTGCATAGTTAGATATAAAAGGCCCTGAAATGACAAATGTAAAACAATTCAAACGAGAAAACTAATGGCCTAATTTATGATAAAATAATGAACGAAAAACAAATATGTTACACAGTAACAAACGACAACCACTGAATTACAGGCTCCTGACTTGGGAAAGGCACATACAGAATGTGGCGGGGTTTAAGTCGTTTGAAGTCGCCAACCCTCCCCCTAACCTGGGACAGTGGTGTAACAGTACAACATAAGAACAAACTATAATAAACTGCTTCGCCGAGCGCAGCTGAATACGACCGCAGAGGTCCAACCCTGAACAGTTGGGGCAAAAATGGACACAATATTCAAGCTTGATACAGGTCTGAATTATTTGGATTGTAATTAAATAATTGACACATTATAGATTTCTGCATGATTCAGAATAAATGTAGTCAAAGAACTTGAAATTGGTTATATGATTTGAATTTATATTCAATTGAAGATTTCTTGCTGCTGTGCAATACACTGTGCTGTTGCGCAATACTTAGTAAATCTGTTTTCAGACTATACACCAAGAATTAGCAAAATAAATTGTAACCCCCAATTTTCCTTTGGAAAATTGACAATTTCTTAAATCTTGAGGGAACAAATTTTTTTTTGTGGTCGTATAAAAATCAGTTGAAATAGGCTTCACCGTTGTCTGTATGGAGGAGTTTAGTCTATTGAGACTTTCCATCAGAACCTACATGTATTGATCAAATGGTTGCCTGTATGGAGGAAGATAGTCTATTGAGACTTGCCCTCATAATCTATTGAGGTTGTTTGTTTGTATAGAGGAGTTTAGTCCTTTGAGACTTACCATCAGAATCTATAGAGGTTGGCTGTCTTTACGGAGAAGCAATCAATGTCTTTTCAATGAATGTCCTCAATTCTAACAAGTCATCAATACATCTCTGAAGAAGTGTCTCTGATGTCAGTGGTTCTCCATGGTTACTAGGATGTTGTACACTTGCTCTTAATATTTCCTGTGTCAAGTTTGGGAAGATTGGAACTAACATTTCCAAGACGGATTTTTCAATATCAGCCATCCTAAAAGAAGAAAAGCATTACATGTACATGTATTTTGAAAGAAAAAATATTTTTTTTACGATAAAGCCATTGCACAGACAAAAAAATCAAGAGAAAAATAGACTTTTCAAATTTGATACTCAACATTTTTGAACACATGGAACAGTTATCATGAAAAAAAAAACAAATAGCATTGGACTAATTGCTAATTCAAGTAAAACAACTCACAAGTATTAGTTTTTATCCAGTTTAAAACTTG